AGGGTGATTAACCGACTAATCAATTAGATTCCCAATTTCAAGCACGAATAAATCAAATTCAATTGAAACAATTGTAAGTTGAAGTGTCACCCTTCAACAATTATCAATACTCAAGCCTGATAATTGAAGAACCATAATAAAAGATTAACTCGCATGGAAAGAACAATCAACGAATGCCCACAATCACAAACGATTTCAAAACATCAATCCCCTATCCCTAGCATATGAATTTAGCCACTCATCATCAATTCAACATCAACATCAATATCAATCAAAGCCATCATCATCACAGATAAAATGAAATAGAAAGCTTACAATTAAATATGAATCCAATGTCGAAAGAGCAACGAACAATCCAAATCCACGAGTCAAATCTTGGTGTTTTCACAATCCAAGATCAATTCCAAGTGAAAGATAAGAGAAAACTGAGTTCTGGGGTGGAAAAGTACGAGAGCCAACTCAAAACCTAAGTGGAACGTCCCCCAAAACTGATCAAAATCGCGAAATAAAAATCCTGCTGTCGCGACCTCCGCGGCCGCGACTTCCTCCTCTGCGGCCGCGGGATTTTCATTGCTGAAATTTGGGACCTGGCAGTTTTTCTTCGCCGCGACCGCGGCGAAGAAAGGGTCGCGGCCGCGGTGACCAAAATCTGCACTGCACTATCTTACGATTTTTGCTCGTTCGGGTTCGTTTTAACTCAGAATTGAGTTCCGTTTTTTCCTACGTGTCGCTAACGAACCCCTCTATCTAATGGTGTCAGCTTCCCCACAAGATTCTCGAAAACCTGTTCTCCCAAGATCTTCAAACTACACACCAAAAACGAAAAGAGAACAGAAAAAGACCGGAAAACAAACGAAAAACATCGCAACACTCAAATGAACGCAAAACACATAATAAATGACAAAATGATCCTAAAACCATCTAAATGACTCAATATGAGGGACAAAATAACAACGAAAAACGCAACAAAAATGGGACAAACACCTCTCATTCAACTTCCCTAATCTGCAAGCATATGCACAGNAAAAAAAAAAAAAAAAAACAATGCTGGAGTCAATTTTACTCAAAAAGGTTTGAACTTTCTTCCAGGAAAGCAAAGCTACGTGCTTTTTCGGTACTTACATTATATGGCGGGACAGCTGGCGGGTCTCTACACAGTCCACCAGAAATACGGGAAGCTTCCGTGGGCATCCATCGTGAAGCCATGCGAGGATCTCGCGCGCAACAGTTTCAAAATCTCCCGAGCCCTCTCTCGAAAAATCGCCAGCGTGGGCCCACACATTTTGTCCGACGAGAGTTTTGGGAGCGTATTTGCTCCAAACGGGCAGATACTCGTCGAGGGGCAGACTCTACGCCTCCGAAAACTGGCCGACACGCTGGCGGCAATCGGCAAGCATGGAATGGGAATCTTTTACAATGGTTCGATTGCCGATGGATTAGTAGAGGACATTCGAAAGCGAAAAGGGATAATCACTAAGGAAGATTTTCAGAGATATTGAGTTATTACGAGAGAACCTCTCATTTCTTCGGTATTGGGGTATAACTTGCTGACTGTTCCTCCTCCTGCTTCGAGTGGTGCAGTCGTGATACTCGTGAGTTGTTTCATTTTTTTTTTCTTTTTCTTTTGCCGATTTATATAGAATATTGTTTGTTAATGTGAGTTTTGAATAATGGCAGATACTAAAGACTCTTTCGAAGTTTGATAACAATGTTACCACGTCGCTTTTTGTGCATAGAACGATCGAGGCACTAAAATATGCACTTGCTCTGAGGATGAATCTTGGAGATCCCGGTTTTGTGAACATTACAAATATCGTAAACTATATGACTGCGGATAGCACCGCGCAGAAAATTAAGAATCTGATAGATAACAAGAAAACGTTCGATCCCGTTCATTATGGGAGCAGGTAAGCAAAGCTACGTGCTTTTTCGGTACTTAAATCTAGTAAAAATTTGAATCTTTCAGTTCACGAAAAGTTTGCGTGATTGTGAAGTTTGCTTAGTAGATAGTAGCTTACATTATATGTTTGCAACACGAAAATCGTACGATTTGGCTAATATTTCAGGTGGACTCAAGTGCATGATCACAGGACAAATCATCTCTGTATTGTAGATCGTGAGCGTAATGTTGTAACAATGACGACTAGCATAAATACTCGGTTCAGATCGAAAATAATGTCAGAAAGTACCGGGATATTCTTTAACAATCAGATGTACGATTTTTCGATTCCTACATCGAAAGGTAAACCAGGTGCACCCGCAAACTATATTAGTCCATATAAAAGGCCTCTTTCTTCTATGGCACCTATCATTCTTTTGAAGGTAAACCGTCTTTTTTTTGTATGCAACGAACTAATATATGGTAACTCGTAAACATTCGAAAAACTCTCTCT